GTACTTAAGATATTGTCAAGTGATTTGTGTACTTTACAGCTAGTTAAATTACTTAAGATCTTGTCAAGTGATTTGTACACTTTACAGTTAGTTAAAGTGCTTAGATCTTGTCAAGTGATTTGTACACTTTACATTTAGTTAAAGTACTTAAGATATTGTCAAGTGATTTGTACACTTTACAGTTAGTTAAGTAATTAAGAGCTTGTCAAGTGATTTGTACACTTTACAGTTAGTTAAGTAATTAAGAGCTTGTCAAGTGATTTGTACACTTTACAGTTAGTTAAAGTACTTAAGATCTTGTCAAGTGATTTGTACACTTTACAGTTAGTTAAGTAATTAAGACTTGTCAAGTGATTTGTACACTTTACAGTTAGTTAAAGTACTTAAGATCTTGTCAAGTGATTTGTACACTTTACAGTTAGTTAAGTAATTAAGAGCTTGTCAAGTGATTTGTACATGCTGCAAATAGTTTAGTGATTAAATTTATTCCAAGTGATTTCTACACTGTAAAAATAACTGAGCAGTCAAACCTTCTGTTAAAATATTTATAAGCCGTATAAGCAACTAAACTGATAATACCTCTTCGTGTTATACCAACTAAACAAAACTAAGAGGTATTATAAGTTTAGTTGGTATAACACTATACCAACTAAACTTATAATACCTCTTAGTTTTATCCAATGAAGTTTCCTGAGGTTAAAGAATGGTTTCCTGCCCGCCACTCGTTTTTGAGGGCATTTCTAGAGGTTAGTGACAAAATCAATTAACATGTTTCAGTGGGCCGGACTTTGAGGTGATAGAAATAATTACTTTGCCCATATAAATGATGATTTTTTGAACATATCTTGAGATGCTAGGCAGATTAATGTAATTACGAAAACTTTTGAATTTCGATTATTTTTAATGTCATTACAAAAGATTAAGAAGATCTTGTAAGCTATGTATCTATCATGATATAAATATTCGTATGTTACTAGTAGAACATATTTTGAGATACTACATTGAGCTTCTTATAAAGCGCTTGCAAGTTTAACAGTTATATTAATTCTTATTTGCCATTTCTTCTCGATCAGTTCCAAAAGTAATTCTCCCCCCCCCAGTGGCACAGCGGTATATCTGCGGACTTACAACGCTAGAATCCGGGTTCGATACCCGTGGTGGGTAGAGCGCGGATAGCCCATTGTGTAGCGTTGTGCTTATTTACAAACAAACCCGAAGTAATGAGTGGTACCTTTAGATGTGTTTTAAAAAGAAATAATTTTACCAAATACGTTATTTTAATACTTCAAAACTTAGTAAATTTGGCAAACACTACATTGTCTTCTCTGTTTTTCTTTCTTTTTGCAGCGTTCATCGTTCGTTTTTTGACAAAGAGATTCATCCACGAGTACGATCCGACATCAGGTGAGACAAAATATTACAAACTTTTGTTATAATAGCTTATTTTTGTGCTTAATTACAAACAAACTTATCATTCTCGATATTCAAGCTCGGTCACAGATAATTTTAAAACAATTCTTGGGTATATTAAAAATTAACTACTTATAATACTTATGAGTAATAGTTACATAACTAACATTCTAAAAAGCTGATATAAGTTGCCCATACAAAAAAAAGGACAGTAAATTATAAATAATAATAAAAAATACGTGACAGCAATTTTTTTTATGGTGCACTTTGAAACTTTTTACTGGACATAAGTAATATTACGCTTCTATATTTCATATAATCGTATCTTCGAAGCTATGAATGTCTGCCCAATAAGTTAAATGAAATATTTCGTGTATAATTCAAAATACCATAACTTGTCAAAGTTGCTTGGGGTTCAAGGAGTTACGTTTCGACTTGCATATAGTTATAAAATACATAAATTTTCATATATGTCAGACTTACAGCATTAACTTTTATGTATGTTTCTGATTTCTTCAGAGGACGTTTATGCCTATAATTCTCAAATCGATGGGCGAAAAATCTGCCTTAAAATTATGGACACAGCTGGAAAGGTAATCCTTCAAATCTTTGAATGTAAGATGTAATTGTTGTTGTTGTGTGCATTGTATATTATACAACTCTAAAATGATGCATTTCCAATTTATTCAATGACGTTATTGGCTTAACATTACTGCTTGATTTTTTTCTAGTACCTTTTAAAAAATTTCCTTATCTTTGAAATGAATAATGGCTAAGTGAAATGATAAAAACAAACTATTTTACGATGTTACTTTTTTCGTCACCAGGTGGAGCGAACAGTTCATAAAAGAGAAGAGCAAATTCGATGGGGTGACGGTTTCATTCTCGTATTGTCTCTTGCATCACGGGACTCTCTTAAAGAAGTTGTACGAATTAAGGAGGTAATAGAGCATTTGAACGAATCAGAAAAACCGGTGGTGCTGGTAGCCACAAAGCGTGATCTAGTCCACGCAAGAGAAGTGACGTCTGCAGAAATTCAAGAACTGGCCAAGAGATGGCACTGTCGAACCTTTGAGACAGCAGCCACAGAAGATTACATCACAGTTGCAGAACCCTTCATAAGCCTGTTTAAGGATATCCGAAAGATAAAAGAACAAAAAGGACTTTTCCCTACGTCATTTAAACTTGACAAAGACATTGTTATAGCAGACGTTCACAAAAGATATAAAAATCGTTTGTTGACACAATAAAACTAAATGTTACATTCTTCATTGTTAACTTGATATTATTCATTGATATGTTCGTTATTAAACTGTGTGTATATATTACTGTTATAATAAGAAACTTAATGGTGACATTAAGCGTCGTAAGTTTTTTAGATTTTCTCGTACACAGCCATTATCGATGAAAGAACTTAGTTCCTAAACGTTTAAATGAAATCCCGTACTCCACAATATATTACAACTGGTGTCTCCAAAAAGTTACATGATTTCATATGACAAACTGATTCACCCAGTGAAATAAGCGTAGCACCATACAATGCTCTGAGGAGTGTAAGCTTTTGGGTGGCTTCAATCTTAATATTGAACTCTGCCAAATTTGGTAAACAACAACGCTCATATCAGGATCTTAGATCGCAATTTTAAAGTTGGACTACTGTACTAAAGAATACAAGACATGTTCTTACACAGTATGCTAAAATATGCGTTTATTCCGCAATCGTACGTCAGGATTGAGTCTCAAAACTGACTTCGTAATTTTTTTTACTCCAAAATCTCGCGTCAGAATTGAAGCCTCAACACTACATTCATGAGTTTAGACATGGCTTTATTCCAAAATTGTGTGTCAGAATTGAAGTCTGAACATTATATTTATGATTTTTGGACTTATTTTATTCCAAAATCACGTGTCAGGATTGAAACCTCAACACTAGGTTCATGATTTTTTGACTTATTTTATTCCAAAATCATCTGGCATGATTGAATCCTCAAAACTAGTTGCACGATTTTTAGTAGCCCGATAACTTTATTTATGACATTAAATTAATCAGCCATTATTTCTATTTTCAGTAAATACACGAAACAGCCAGCATTAAAGACACTGTGTTCAGCACAGAGCTTAAATACGTTACCAAGTTGTGTATTGTATATCTCTAGATCACAGCATTAGATTGTATATAACTAAAATTTAAATTCATTAAAATGAGTGGAAATAATAGACTCCTAAGTGCTACACAGAGAGAACCTTGTAGTTAATAAAAGTAATTTCATATTCAACTGAACTTAATGAAACTGGATTCGGTACTCAGTGACAAGTGTGCTACCTTTAGTTTTTGTCAAATTATTGACGTTTTTGAGTCTGAAATAGGACGGGAATTGAAAATTTATGTTTTTCACTTCATCTGGCTCTGTTTTGTGAACTTTTTAAATCGTAGCGCTCGGTTTGTGGATAATATAAATAGTTTTACAGGATGATTGGGAACACCAGTATCACAGTTTCTTCACGGTTTAATTAGATAATCTCCTCATACAGCCTTTGTTATTGTCTTATTCTTAGATTAGTCCGTGCTTTCTAATGTAGTTAATTTATACATCATTCGTTCGCTCTAAGATATAGAAGTTGGAAGTTATCTTCGTGAGCTCTGGTTTTGTTTTTTGCTTGTTCCATGTTTATTAAGGTAATTGATTTATACGACTGAAGTTATCTTAGCGAGCTCTAGTTTTGTTTTTTGCTTGTTCCATGTTTATTAAGGTAATTGATTTATACGACAGAAGTTATCTTCGTGAGCTCTGGTTTTGTTTTTTGCTTGTTCCGTGTTTATTAAGGTAACTGATTTATACGTCACCACAGGAGTCGTGTACATAACTTCCAAATATATTAAAATGAGTGCAAATTAAAGTAAAAAAATGAAAAGTTTGAGATGAAACAAATCCAAAACGTTATTTCCTTGAGACTCAAAAATAAAAGATCAAATAAACAAAACCAATTGAAAACTTGATATTTTCAGCAGTCAATATAATTACTGGACTGTTCATACATCTGGAGATATAAAAGGAAAAATCACAAACATTCCATCACTGATACTGGAATGTAAAAATTACTAAACTAAACAAAAGGTTCAGAAGTAGTTTGAAATCCATGAGTAGTTTCAAAAGTAGTTCTAACTCCATGAGACGTTTCAGAAGTGGTTCTAAATCTAAGAGAGGTTCAGAAGTGGTTATAAATTCAGGAGATGTTCAGAAATGGCTCTAACTGCAGGAGAGGTTTCAGAAATGGTCCTTTATCCATAAGTTGTTTCAAAAATTATTTTAAATCCAGGAGAGGTTTCGGAAGTGGTTCTAAATACAGGAGAAGTGTCATGGTATTAGGTTGATACCCTGAATGGTAGTGCTCATCTGTCCAATATGACAGTTTGTATAATAACAAGTATATTTTAACTCGTTTTTGTTAAGCTACTATTTCTGTGATTGGTGGGAAAGTTTTGTTAGCTCACATGATTTTCAATTCAGAAAAAACGGTTCAATATACATTATAAATATTTGAAAGAAGTTTATTTCACTTTAAATACAAAAATTCGAGAGTAATGACTGTCTTTAGACAAAGAAATCGATGTTTAACTCTATTTAATAA